CAATCCTCTCCCCTCTCCCCTGGGGGTGGGGAGGAAAGTGGGTGAACGGATGTGTTGGCTGCTGGCCAAGGGCTGGCCCAGTGAAACTATCACACAGCTAGAGCTTTTTGACTTGAGGATCTGCAAAGAAGAAGCTCACTGAACATGATCTTCTTTCAAGTAGAACCAGCAGCTACTGCATCCTTTGCACTCGGGATGGCACAGATGGGCAAGCGAGAATTAAAATTACGCTGAATTTGTTCTACTCTTCCAAAGCATTTGCACAGGGAATATCTGTGTCAGTGGAATCTGATCCAACACACGTTAAAGACAGTATCCAGTGGTGGGTTCTGAGTCACTCTAAAGATATTTCAGCACAACTGAAGATTTTACAGATACTTAGGATAAAGAACAGTGAGCTAGGTAGAAGGTTACCATTTTCTCTAAGAGAGGATGTTTATGGCTTTGTCACAGTGCTAGCCAGAAGGATCCAATCCTGGATGCCTAAAATGCATATGCACACACCTGAATCCTAATCTGTTCCAACACATCTTTAAAGAAAACAAAATGCAAGACAGCCTAATCCACCCTTCTGCACTAAGGCCACTTATATAGTCACAAGTTTCTGGAGCTTCACTTTCATTTCTTCTATAAATCAGCCTTATGCAATCTTTGTGATAATTTATTTCTCCACATTATTTCCAAGAGAAAGTGCATTATGCATTAAGAGGAAGAAAGCTAAGAGGGTTTTTCCAAGGTTCTTTCTGTTCTTTTCCAGTCTTGGCAAGGCTACAGCATTAACTGCCATTTTTATCTTCCACCCTGCTGAGATAAACTTTTAATCTTTTAATGTGGAAAAAACAAGAGAACTAATTACTTCCTGATTAAAGGCATTTGAATGGATTTTTTGTACTACAAGCTTAATTACATAAAATAACTGAAGACTATTCTTCACTATTTACCATTTTAAGACAGTCTGGGGAGACACAGAAACAATCATGAAAATTTCAAATGAAATATAATAAAGCAGAATTATAAGCATGTTTCTGCAGCTGTTGGTTAAGATTTAGAGTTGCAGGCTAATCTTACCTCAAAAGATTAATGTAGATGCATAGTCTGATTGTATTTCTTAAAGCAGGTTGTTGCTCTTTGAAAATGTTACTGGAATCCTATAAGGCTGAGTTGATACAAGTGAATCCCAATACCTTTTGCATGTCATTTTCAATATAGTTCATTAAAAATTTTTATAAATAACTTCATATGCTGTCCAAATTTTCCATAAATTATAAGATGATGGATCTTAATGTAATTATTTGAGAAAAACTGAAACATCGCAAAAGGCAACACAGGGAATCTTACCATGTTATATAGGGCATGCTGAGAGATCTGTAAGCTAAAAATGTACATCTAGATTGAATACAATTTTCTGCGTATTGTGGTATCGTACACAAGCTTTAAACACGCTCTGAAAGAACTACAGTCTCTTGGACAGTAGCAATTGCTTTCTGCTTTTCATCACAGGAAAAAAATAGAGCTGGATTTATTTTACTGTTTTTAAATCAGAATGAGAGGTTCTGAGGATTTTCTGTCTGATGGCATCAGTGGAGTATATGGATTTTACAGACCAGTTCAAGTATTTGTTACATAACTCTCATTATAATGTCATTCCTGGTTAGGAAAAGCCACTTCTGATTGGAATAAAATCCAATTATTTTTATTATGTCAGAATTTCCGCAGTAAGATTATCTAATATGTATTAACACTCTTGGAAGCTTATATTTGCAAATGGTAGTTCTCAGTTTAGGATTTTTGACTTCCATAAGATTTTTTTTTTTCCCTACTCAGGTCTATTTTATTACTATAAAATTAGGAAATACAGTTTCCTAGCAAAGCAAACAACTGCATGAATTATTTGAAGAATGGATAAACTTTTCATTGCAGACAGAACTGCATGCTATTTGTGGTAGCAGACATCACCAGCCAACACAGACTTCAAATTTTAAAGGACAGAATGGTGGATGATGTAGCTTAATAAACCTAACCAATGAATTATATCAAAAAATGGGAAAAAAAAAAAAAATCTTTGATCAGAATTCCAAAAAAAAATGCTTCTAAATTAAGCATTTTGAGACTGATGCAAAAATTCTAATATTGCATTCAAGAATATTCCATAGTCAATGAAAATTTGAATACTGAAAACCATCCAGTGAGAGAGTTCCAGTAATGAACTGCTTGGGTGTCATGTTCCCTAAGTTCTTTGAAGGTCTCAGTCTAACAAGTATATTCAGCTTAAACTAGCATGCAGAGACAGGATTTCATCTATCTTATAACACAATTGCTATTTTTAAAATAAAAAGAACAGGCTGCTTAAGGAGAAAGCTTACCTTTTACATACCCTAGTTTTACTGTGCTCATTTGAGGCAGGAAACTGTTTCAGTGCCTATTCAGTGCACAACAGATTCAACCTAAATTTGTGACTCCTAGGCTGCATGAGGCATATGCACTCTTTCATGGAGTTTGTGCTATTATAAAAATTAAATGAAGATTTTAAAAATTTCTCTTCAATGGAAGAAGTAGAAAGAGAAATAACTCTGTTGCCTATTGTTAAAGTGCTCATTTACAAATAGACTACAGTTTCAATGACCAATTCAGAATTTTATGTTTATCAGTTATCAAGGGAAAAATGCAGAGAAAGTTATGGATTATTATATAAACAAACACTAGTCTGTTTTTAAAGTGATTCTCTGCTCTTTAAAGAATGACTCTGAACTCAGCCCAGTTTATAAATAAGCAAAAATTCAGCTGTAAGCATTTCAGAATATTCTGCTGAGTGTAAAAGTGAAGTGAATGAAGATTACTGTCAAGCGCTCAGAGCTTGTGAAGTATAGTGGCTTTCTAGATGGTCACTCTGAAGAGCTGATCTCTCAAGCAAGTCTTATATATGATCATTAGTTTAGTTCCTTACTGTTAGCACTCTGAAAGTTCTTTTAAATAATTTTTAAAAATATTTTTGAAATCTTTTTAAAATAAACTAGTTCATTGTACTTGAGATCTTCAGAACTGGTAATTTGGGGTCAATGATTGGGAGGGTGTCTTCTAAGAGGTCTTACAGGACTGAGAAATTAGGGGAAATCTTCTCTACTTTCTCACATCCTTTCAAAGAAAGATATAAGCATACCTGGCAAAGCGGGAGAAGCAGAGAATTACCACTTACCTGAAGAAAGTATGATGTTCCACACAAACCTTCCATAACCTTTTAGCAGCCCGATGGTTTGGCAGCTTGAACCCAATAGTGCTCTCAAACTGTTCCGGCTGGAAAGAATCCACAAACAAATTAACCCATTTCCTTAAGCTGGTTATTAACTCGCAGGCAGAGTTCAGATGGTTCCATTACCATAACAAGCTGTAATTCTCCTCTCATAAAACTTCATAAGATTTTTAAAACAAATAAAATCAGAATTTCCAGCCTTTTAATAAAATTCTACTTGGCAGTTTAGTCATGATGGGTAATAATCACATTATCACTTCCTAGCTGTACTAATGACTCCTTTGTGAAATCCAATAATACTTTAGTGTTCTCTGCTAATTTTCTGACTAGGTGCCCAATGTATTTATTTTTAAACTGCATGAAGTAATTGTACTGCAGGTTGTGCTGCATGCTTTCCTTGGATTTAATAAAAGTCTGAAATTCATACTGTGGTGTTAAGCTTACCTGATCTATTTCACTATATAATAGGTTTTTAGCAAAAATACTACATCTCTGCACCATCAGTGTGTGCAAGAACAATACTTCTGTGTTCCAAAACTTATAAAACTACAATGTTCATATTGCACTGTTGGTATTTAGACTTCTCTTTTCTTTCACACACACACACACACACACACACACACACACACAATGTTAGGGATTGGAAGAGACCTCGAAAGATCATCTAGTCCGATCCCTCTGCCAGATTTATTCACATAGTAAAAGCTACCTTAAACATTTTAGAGTATAATTTTAAAAAGCACTGTAGTGTTCCACTTAACTTTTTTTGCAAAACATCCAGTTACAGTGGTTCAACATGTAACCCCCTCCCTTCAGGAACTCCCACAAACTTCGAATGGTATCTGAAAAGCAAGCTGAATTCACTGTTTCCACAGCAGCTAACAGAAAGCTTTATAACGTGCTACAGGACAAGTCAAGCCTTTGGTTACACCCATACAACAAGATGCATTAACATTTAGTGAACTATACCCAAAGAGGAAGAGAGGCTGACTCTCCCTGGGGACCGCAAGCTTGTATAGACATTAAGGACATGGCCAGTGTAACTAGCTTTCTTTGCAAAAAAAAAGTTACAGGATGGCATCTATTAACAGTAGAAAACAGATTTTCTTCTTGGTTTGCATTTACTAATCAAAACAATGTTTAATACAATCAGCAGAATTTGAAGAGAAAAATAAAACCCTCTTAAATTCTGTTTTAATCCAACATAAGCCTGTCGGGCATCTGGGAAAAAAAATGAAGTTATCCTGTTGCTGGATAGAAATGATCTCACCAAAGAAACAAAACAGAAAGGTGCTACTTACTTCTGCTGGCCGGACTTTGATGTAGAAATTGCTTCGCTTATAGGAAATCTTCAGAATTTTTGGCCAAGCAAAGCGATTGATCCGGAGTCTATCTTTGTAAATGAGCAGTCCATTAGCACATACACCCAGCATGATATCCACACCTTCAGAATCCTATCACATATGAGACAATGTCATAAAAATCAGTTTAATAATTTTCCAAACAAGTAATTATTGCTGGCATACCTTGAGGTAATAATGCAACTGGGACTTGTTTCATATTCAAACCTGAGAGACCCTGACAATGAGATTCTTAAAGCAGAAACAGCCAACTATAATTTTATAGGAAAGGCTTTGGACTCTAAGTAATGGCTTTGTCACTCATATGCCATTGCATATGCCACAGTTCTAGGAAATTCTTCAATATTCTGGCAGCAGGGACTACGCTGACAACTTACAACCAAGGAAAGGTATGGTGGGAGTGCTACTAATGATTTCAACTAATATTAAAAGAAGAAAAATTAAAAACAGGCCTTTCCGACAGTCAGTGAAAGTCTGAACAACCTGGTGATCATGGTGATCTTTTACAGTCACCTACTATTCCAGTAAAGATAGAGGAAGTAATAGGTAGTTGGCTGAAAAGGTCAACATAATGATTTCACAATGCTCGTGGGCCAAGCTTCTGAGCATTCTGTTCCACTGACAGCATTTGATGCAAGCTTCACAGGCTACCAAACTAATCACTTTCTGATAAGGCTTTGATATACTGTACCGCTACATAATACAGCAGAATCTCATGTCCTCCCCACCAACAAAGCAACTACATAAAATGCCAACACTGTCATTAAAAAGTTCCTTCACTGGCACAACTAAGAGCTGCAAGTGGACCCTGGCAAAGAGCAGTTCTAGTGCTTGCAGTTACTTCACTAAGGCAAAAGAAAGTTTCAATAAAACTCTAAAAAAGTTCCTTAAAACACAACAGACCAAGTGAGTTGCCATGCTGCACTTGTATTAATAATAATAAAAAAAAAAAAGAATAAACTTTACAGACATAGTTAATATACATGAATAAAAATTTAAGTATATTTCTTTCAAGTGCCTCTAAAGGAACATAGGAAAAAGTCTACAGAAAATTGCAAAAACAAGTGCACATTGTTTCCACATGAACAGAATTAAATTATGTCCTTAAAAAGTCTTGGTTTTCTTTTTTAAATATAGGACTGATATGCTTACAATGCAATGATTTGCCTAATGATTTGAGACTCTGGATTTATGTGAGGGAGTAGAAGTGGGTTGGTTTGTTGGGTTTTTAACCAAAAAAATTTCAATAGAAATGCACATTTGATTTGATCTACCCAAAGGAGTGTAAAAAAACACCAAAAAAACACCCTCCTCCAAGACCTTCTCCCTCTTTTTAACTGTCATGGTATTACTAAAACAATTACGTGTTCTTTTACGCTTTACTTTATGGCCCCACATCTCTTGGCATCAAAAATGTGACATTTATAATGTATTTAGCCACTCTTATAAATAAAATATTATTTCCGAGCTGCACATACATCTATGTATTAAATAAACTTAGATTTAAAATAAATACTAAGGCTTTAGAGCTGTAAACTGAGTAACTATCATGACCAAGAAATAAAAGGCTTATATCTAAGAATTGAGAGTATAATATTTTAAAAATAAACTGTATGTACTATGTTCTTTAATACTAAGCATGTCTATCCTAAAACAAAAAAACCCCAAACCAATACCTTGGCATGATGTAAATCCACTCCGTACATGGAGAGCCTCTTAGCATTTTCTAGGAACTGGGAATCCGCCTGTGCTGGAGTCAGGCCCCTAAAACCATCGAATAAGCCTTGAGTTTATTGACAAAAGAACTGAAAAACAAAACTGAGTGGAATTCTGGAATTCAGACACACAGAAAAACCTGAGTTTGTAAGGTATCAATAACATTTTTGCCCTAAGGGAGGGTGTACTTTCAGAGCACATCATATTCATTTAGCAGAGATTTACACCTTCACTCTTTCAAAATATTCTAGCTGTATGTTGCTTAAACTAATTCATATGCTCAGATGAAAAGATTTTCTCCAAAAGTTCTCTTCTGAGATCTTAGGGAAGCTACTATTTTCAAATTGAAATTTTTAAACACATGAAAGTAAGAGGTTCTAGTTACCACGCAAAAGATTTCCAAAATAACAATAACGGTAGCTTAGCAGTTTTACACATAACCTTAAGAAAATTGACATAAACGTGAGAAAGCATGAGTAATCCCACTAATCCCATTGTGTCTGACACACCTGTGTGTTTTGTGTAGCTCAGCTACTTTCTCTTGCATTTCTTGAGTTTGATTGGATGTAAATTGGAAATCGCTGATGTAGTCACTGCGGTGCTCCTCAGGGTCATGATCACCCAGCTCAGCCTGCAGGGTGTATGAACTCAGGAGGGCGCGAGTCACAAAAGAACATGGCAGACGACCAGAAGCAATATCCTGACGAAGCTGTAGGCACAAGAAATATCTGCAAGACAGAGGAAAAGGGAAAAAAACAAACAAAGAAAAACAAGAACAGAGAAAGTGTTACCAACGGCAAGTTTATGAGAAATATGGCAAAATTTATCGAGATGCATGTGATCATAGAAGCATATTTTAAGACAAGTCAATCCCTTAATAATTTGTTACAGCTTGTATTATTTGAGCATTATTGCCACACAGTAACTTTCACTTCCATTTTTAAGAGTCGACATTACTCACGTAAATAATCTGAAGAGTAGGAAAAATTCTGACAAAATGAATGAAAAACTGTATCTAGTTTGTAATAAAAGCTGACTTACAAACTCCTCCATTTCACATTCCAGGAATTTCACTTTGCATTTTCAACCCTGTTCCAAAGAGCAGTTGATATAAGAGAACCTGCAGTAACAGCCTACAACCTTACAGCATCCAGAAACTGAAGAAGAAATTTTATAGGGCCTTCAAATTACACTAACAGTAATTTTTGAGTTTAAAATTAGGAACTATGCATACCTAGTGATGTCTTCAGTCAGCTGTGAGGGATCAGGAGGATAAAATTTCACATTAAAGGTAAATATCCAAGGTAAACCTAAACATGGGAAACATCTGATGGTTAATCTCAAACAAATTGAAGCAAGCAAGAAAGAACCTTACTGAAAAAGGTTAGGCAGTTGTATAAATCTTAGAAATCTCACTGAAACCTTGACAAAAGTTTTTTCCCCTCTTTTTACACTCCATTAGTAAGAAGTGTAGATTATTTTCATTATCAGATAGTAACTCATATACACATGCAGTGAAAGATTAGCAGGTTAAAAATTATTTTCAAAGAATGTTTTACAGTAAGTTATGTAAATATCAGAATCAGGTTTCAATTTGAAAACTACCATAATATATTAACCCTTTTAAGATACTCTGTGTTCAAAGACACTTGTACTGAATTTGTGTTTACTTCCAGCTCTCTAAGGCCAACAGTCTCCCTCTGTTTAAACTGACTTGGTTTGAGAGACTACAGTAACTATGAACATGACATATCAAAATGAGGTCGGTGTTACATACATCAGAAAGACAATAAGTAAATTAT